AGTAGCGAAAAACCACTCCCTACTATCTAAGTAACCGAAAATCTATTTTTCCCTTGTCTTCCAATTATCGTTGTTAGAAGAAGACACAGGCTCTGCAGGAAATGAAATCATCTTGTAATTACTCTCCATTTATTTATTTTTAAATCATTCGCAAAAGAACACTGCGTCAGTGGTCGATTCGACACAGACATCTAACTCGGGCTTCCTGTGGAAGCCGAGTTCCACTCGACCAAAAAAAAGTGTTGTTAGGAACGCCTGCCGTTGGTTGCATGTTTTTGGGACCAGCCATTTTGTATAGTTAAAAAAGTTCAGTATTTTTAATGGTGGAAAAATTTATATTTGATAGATAATCTTGATAATCCCTCACCATGAAGCGAAGGGGTGGTTTTGAAGACGTAGTTGAAAGGAAGATTCCACGATCTGAGGACTTCTTCGATGTCACGCCAATWCGGAGATCTTCCACCAAATCGTTGCCGTCCTTTCGCCGCCCTGTTGAAATTGGTCATTTCTCGCTCGATATCGATAGAAAATTCCACGATGATAAGCACCAGCTAAAGTATTTTTGCCCTCCACATACCATTAACTTTGATTTATCTGTCGGCTACAAGGATTTTATAGCAAGRAATGAAGACGTGAAGGAAAAGTTAGATCACTTGTTGATGTGGGTGGATAAGCACAGAGACAAGTTTGAACTTCCTAAAAAAGAATCTCTAGAAAACGGACAGGGAGCTTCGTCAAGCAACCCTTCGACCAGGCAAGTAGGCATTTCTTWAAAATAATTATAGTAAATATCACCTATTATTCTTATTTTAGAGTGCTTACACTATGTCCATGAAATAAAATCTAAATAGTTACTACCTAATAGTTTTTATTTAGTGACTATTAGTCACTATCACTCAACTGGAACGGCTTTAGTAACAATACACCAGGGAGACCAAATACTCAAGACAATAGAAAGATAATACTTTATTGTTTCGACATAAAAATCATTGCATTTCATTACAGGGGTTTTCTCAAACCCGTGAAATATTTTACTCTTACACCGGTCTGATTCTTTCGCTTGTTTGAATCGGACTATACTGAACTCTAAAAAGTAAACTTGGCCGTTTTCATGGGTTTATGAAAATCTCTCTAATTCACTGAATAATATTCTAGGCCTTCCTGTAAAACCTTCTSATAGTTGGTGCATCGATTCCCATGAAAGCGTTTATAATTAACAATTAGACTACAAGGTCGGGTTTTCTATGAGTCAATAGATCGACTATTTGACTACAGAAAACGAGAACGCTTTCATGGGAATCGATGCACCAACTATCAGAAGGTTTTACAGGAAGGATTTTTATTTCRAAACAATAAAGTATGCCTCTATTAAATAAAGTATTATCTTTCTATTGTCTTGAGTATTTGGTTTCCCTTGTGTATTGTTACTAAAGCYGTTCCAGTTGAGTGATAGTGACTAATAGTCACTAAATAAAAACTATTAGGTAGTAACTATTTAGATTTTATTTCATGGACATAGTGTAAGCACTCTAATAGCACTGCGTAAAACATTCTTCTCAAACTCATTAATAATCCATAAGTTAGTTTATTACAGTCTAATAACCAGAGCTTCTCTGAATCGTTGCTTTCCCGATTGGTAACAGCCGGTTTTAGCCCGATGCTGATTGGTCCAAATAGCCCTGCTTGCGTAAGCTTCTGAAGTAATTTATACTAAAAGCTGATTTGTGATTGGTGGAATCTATTCAGTGCTAGGAACATTTTAGGTTTAGAATATTTYATGCATAAAGACAGCTCACTACTAGACTCTTTTGAAAATAATTTCAATATGGTGGATTAGAATGCAGGAGCTTGACTTTCAATGAATAATTTTAGGCAGTGTTCTGTGGAAAGTCTCAGGTCTATTTTTGAAGACTTGATCTCCGACCTTAAGTTTTGTGTGTGTGTGTTTTTTTTAATGTAAAAAATTCRATTTTCACTTTCATTTGCATGTGGATTGAATCTTATTTAAACCCATCTATACTTTAACCCCGGGATATGTGGGGGTTTTATGGGGATTTTTTACCTTTTTATGGCAGCTTTATGGGTCCCAACTATGTGGGGGATGCTCACATTTTGTCATCCCTGCCGACATTAGGTGGGGATTCATTTTGTAAATTCCAAGATGACAGCCATTGTTCCAGTAGAGAATTATGGATCCCAGCATYTTACTTTCTTATAGAAACAAGTAGTTAAAAAAAATATGTGGCCAAGGCATATTTATTTGCCCAGGGGGTGGGTCTTTTTTTGCTGCAAATTTTGTCCCCATATGGTGGGGCATTTGTCAGTTTTAGTTCGCTATTCAATATATAATAATCCCGGGTTGAGGGGGGGGGGGTTACTTTGACTGGTGCATTATCCTGACACATGTACCGTCCAGTGAAACACTGCTAGAAACCTTGATACCCAATCAGAGTCCAAAGGAAGATCACTAGTGATCATCATACACAATCACAATCACAAAAGTGGTGATTATGAGGTTTCCCTTTATTTTTAGAGTCATCTTAGATTTTCAAAAAACATGCATTGATGACTGACCCTGAGCAGTAGTGTTTCTAGACTCATTTGCATAAACCCAAGATGATTGACTGCTCAGACAATACCAAAATTTAATCAGGGTTTTCAAACAGCAGTTCGAAATACAACAATTATTGCTGTAATAACTTTGTACATATTTTTATCCAGTTTAAATACAGACTTCATCACTTGGAGAGGTCACATGACAAAACTGTTATGTACACCTTATGAGACTCGGGAACCCTGGAAAATGGCAGCAACATTGTACAAAGGAACCATTTATCTGAGTGAAATTGAAACTAAAGAAGCGTATGATAGGAGAAAAAACATGGAGGAGAAACACAAGGAGATGTGCTATTGGGGACACAAGTTTGAAAGCTATGTCTGTTCACTTGTGTCARAGAAGCAGAAGAAAAGATCAAGTGAGACAACCAGTAAGTCAGATAYTGCAAATGGGGCTTCATCAACTGCTTCTACATCTAAGGATTCAGAGAAGGATCCACCTTGCAACAACTGTGAGGGATTTATTTCAGTTGTCAGGACAAGACTGGAAAAGCATTCTTTGGTGTTTGGTGCTGAGGTTGATTGTTGTACAAAGGTTAGTAACTTTTGAATATTCTTTTTAAAGGGTTACCTGTGTAAACTGCTCATAAAATACCTTTGTGTTTTTTTGTTGTTTTTTTTCCGTCTTGATTCCTCCCCTGCAAAACAGACATGTTGCGCGATAGTACCCAGGAGTCTTTGGGTCCTTACTCAAGAGACCTTTCCAGGCTTCTGCTAGTGGGTTCCGGTCTACAGTCTGATCAATTAGGCATGTGCCAACTGTCAATCAATGTCACTATGTTGCCAAGTGATTGAGAGAGGGCGGAGCTAGCTGATCACGTGATGTAAATTAATGCCTACGCATGCTTTTTTGCATTGACTGCTGTAATTTAAGACAGCCGAACTAGAAATATTATTTTACTGAAATGTGAACAAGGATTTCTAGCTAGATGGTGAGGACTCCGAATAAAAGAGAATTTCTAAGAATTTTCATGCTGGCCTAATTACGTAAGCGAAAATACAAATTCCGGGTTGAAGATCTGCTGGACTGCTGGAATTGAAACTGGATTATTTTCCCCCCGATTATTATGAAATTGTAACATAAATGTTTTGCCCAGTTTGGATTTCATTGTACATTAATAGCTCTGTCACTGTTTTTCGAAACTTTGCAACTTATTTCCACTTCTCCTTTGGATTCTKTAGAGTCTCTGAAACCAGTTAACCCGATTAACCCTGCCACCAGGGTCTTGTCTTTTTCTTTCTTTGTTTCGTTTTACAATGCAGACCCAGTAACCGGGAACCAGCATGATCATGCATAATGAAACCTATAGCCAATCAGGAAAGGACAGAATTGGTTTCATATTTATCTCAGCCAATCACAAAGCTTGTTTTATTTCCATAGATTACATCTACGTATAATTGGGTTGTCAGATAYATTATCTGACATAGGTTGCATGCTCCTATTAAATTGGCTTAATTTTAGTACAAAATTGGATTTCTCTTTTTTTCAATCTGTTTTGATTCGTTGAAACACTGCAAGAACATTTTTGTGTGACTATTKCCACATTCTTGTTATTTACTGACACTGGCTCTTATGGCTTTGAGGGGGTGTAAATGAGATGATTTTATAAAAATCACAATCTAAATTCCAATTGAATTCAAAAGAAAAATAGTAAAATTAAGAAATATAATTTTTTCTTAAATTATTAAGAATGTACATGTATTATTGGGATTTAACGGAAATTTTTTTTGAAAGCTTTCTCTTTCTGATACAAAATCTGAAATCTGTGGAAAGGCTCAAATTTTCAAATTTCCTCTACTTTTGGAYTTAAGTAGTGTATGATGCAGAATGAAATGCCATGTGGTTAGTTTTTAAAAATACCTTTTGTTTGTGATAAAAAGGGAAAAGAAAATTTGAGCTCCAGGGGCAATTATCACTACAGTGTATCAAAATATGGCTAAAAATTGCTTGTGTTGGCTTGGTCTGCATAGCGAAACTCTTAATCCAAATAGCCTTACTGTATAATACTTTCTGCTCAAAGTGCAGCTTTTTTTCTCTCATTTTCACTATTTTTATTTTAATCGGACAATTCAAAACATTTTAGCACAATAAAAAGCAAAGGCCACTGAGTTACAATGCTATTGAGTACGTCTCAAAAACTGCGAGTTTCATCATGTGCCGTCTTTCTAAATCTTGTAAAACTACAGTCAATAGCTATTGGGGAACTGCTCTTTTGAAAAATATACCCTTTTATTTTGTGAAAATAATTGTGCACTTTTTGCAAAAGATTTTATTTTCACTTATTATACATGCAAAAATACTATATGTATGTTCAAGGCGATCGTGTGACTAAAGATTTTASAAATATATTTATCTGAAGCATTATTTCTCTTCAAATCTAGTCTATAAGCAGAAGCATAAATAGGCTAACCTTTTACTTTAACTAACCAGTTTGCCCAATTTTAGTTTGTCTTTCTTTCAAAGTTACCGGCTGGTTTTCAATGAGAACTACATGTATTCAGTTGACTAAACTCGATTTCTACAGTGGGACCCACAGTGCAYGTGTCCAGTAGGTTATTCTAGCTACACTTGCAAGTTGTTAATATCTCATGAAAAAGGACTTTTTTGCATTCTTTTCTTTTCTTTTTAAGCATTATTTTATAAACAAAAAAATTAAAATTAAAGTTTCAATGCTAGTATAGACAAATAGAAATACAAGTGATATAGGAATTTAGTAGTCAGCATTTGTCATGCTTTTAAATTAGTGTTACATGTAAAAAAAATTTTACTGCAATTTTCAAAAACATGTAAACTCTGTGTCTGTGAGCTGCATGCTGAAATTTGTTTTTTCACTGCTGCCAGTYAAAAATATGAAAGGTATGGACTGATTAGGTTTGATTGATGACAGCAGCGAAAAACTGGCCAAATTTCAGTGTGCAGCTCGCAGACACAGAGTTCACAAGTTTATGAAAATTTCAGTAAAACTTAAGTGTTTTTTAGCTTTCTAAATGTTGTTGTTGGTAATGATGATTCTCTAAACTAATAGGAAAATGAGGCGTCCCCTGGAAACTACATTGAATTAAAGACATCAACCCGTCCTCACACACACCATCAGCATTGGTCATTCCAAAGGTACAAGCTACTGAAATGGTGGGCACAGTCTTACTTGGCAGGAATACCAAAGATTATTTGTGGATTTCGTCAACACCATAGTTTTGTGAATGAGCTCCAGACCTACAATACATTGGAAATTCCAAGAATTGTTGAACATGAACACAACATGTGGGACTTGAATATTAGTTTGAATTTCTTGAATAAGTTTTTAGATTGGGTGAAGACAGTTGTAGTGAAAAGTGATGCTAAAAAGGTGTACTTATTCTCCTTTGAGGAACCATTTAACCATATTTCTGTTGTAGAATCCAGTAATGAGGAGGATAGTTTTCTACCTGAATGGTACACAAAAGAAATGTAAAATATAAAAGCTAAGACTAAAGTATATTAGTAAGACTAAAATATATCCTTCATCCCTTTTGTCTTGCGCCAGACGATAGGTGCATGTGGGTTCTCGGCCCACAAAGTGGGCCTTGATTTAACAATTAATAATTTTAGATTTTTTATATCTTTATACATGTAGGCTCATTCTTTCTTTCTTTCAATTTATTATATTTTAATTATAGTATATACATTAGAATATTGTAATTAGATTTAGATTTTAGATTGTGAGGGCCACTAGGTTATCAGTTTAATGTACTGTTATGTGTAACCCTCTTTAAATAAAGTTTATTGTATTGTATTGTATTGTATTGTATTGTATTGTATTGTATTGTATTGTATTGTATTGTATTGTATTGCTGCCAGGTTTTCATAGCTGCCATCTTGGTTTAATTTTGTAAAGATTTGTCATTGGCCTCCTTTGTTTTAACATGAACCAGCATGGCCACCATGTCTTTTGTACAGACATTATTTCACTTCCTTGGGAATGATTGAAAACCAGCAAGTATTATTGGACCCATTTGGCTTGAGTGTAATGTTGTCCAATTTGGATCATATTCATTTCTTTCAGTATTATTTCTTTGTTGTCTGAAAATACTGAAATATATTAGTATTATAAACTCAACCTTTTTATTACCAAAAAAAATGGAAACATTGCACTCAAACTGAATGGCTCTATTTGTATGCCTGTGTGTATACCAGTGTAAATTTCAAGCAGCTTRACTTTGCATCCTACAACTTACATCATGGTAACCATGGTTTCATGAATTCTTTTTTAATACTTTTTACTTCTTTTCTTTGTTTTATTTTGCTTTCCTGTAAAACTGATAGAATTTATAGAGAAATAATAATAAAAAATTTGAAAAAAAAATTGATATTCTTAAGCCTAGAATCGACCACCATAAACGTAGCTTTACAGGCCCGTAGTGGGCCTGATGTAGGTAAGCGTCCAGCTAAATTTCAAACACTATTATCTTAAATTTGATAGAGGCRACTCATTTTTCAAAAAAAAAGTTCACATAGTTGGCATTYGTAAATGATGAAAACTCAAAACAAGACATGCGGAAAAGCACATGAAAGTCAGCTGTGTGCTTCATATACATACAGTATGYTGAATTTCTATTTTTTACTTGTACATACACTGACGTGATATTATTGAATAGATATTCACATGTTCGATGCCAAAAGTCTTTTGCCCATAAAATAAAGAATTTTAATCATAGAGTGCAAACAATATAACGGTGAAACTTTAGAGTGCAAACAATATAACCGTGAAACTTTAGAGTGCAAACAATATAACCGTGAAACTTTAGTAATACTAAATAGCACAATTTCATGCAAATTCCATTGTTTTCTATTGTTTAACTAGCACTAAGTTGTACTATTTAGTAATTAGTGTTTCACGGATTAATTGTTTGCACTCTATTATTAATTCTGCTGTTTTGTAAATTTGATAAAAGTTGATACGGTAATATGGGGCGTGTCAAAACAAGCGCCCCCTCCCAATAATTTTACCCCTGCTACGGGCCTGCTTCAGTTATGGCGGATCGGCGTTGTGGAATGGACTACCCATTGACCTGAGAAAGTCAAATTCCCTTGCCCAGAAGAGGAGCAGATAATATCAAGAGAATACGAAGTACTTAATATTCTCTTGATAATGTTTATTCAGAATCTGACTCGCACACGGCAAACATGTAAAACAGTTTAAATTTCAATAACTAAATTATATTTATGATGTAGCTGATTTTTTTACCGTGTTTCGATAAAGTTGTCTGTCTGTCTCGTTTATATGCAATTAGTCAACGGAGTAGAGATACCCAGGACACCGCGTCACCCAGTACAACATTATCATCGATGTCTTGGTCACTACTTCAGCACCACAACAATGGCAAAAAAAAGTAAGCCGCTAGAACGGGTTGAATAAACCCGTTACAACTGACACTCGTTACAACTTGGTTATTACTGAACCCGCTACGACTGGTTCAGCTTCAACCCGTTACAACGGCTTCAGGATATACCAAAAGTACAAGTCGTATTATACTTGGCGTTGAACCTGCTACAACGGGTTGACTAACCCGTTACAGTCGAACCCGCTACGACTGGTTCAGCTTCAACCCGTTACAACGGCTTCTGAATATACCAGAAGTACAAGTATTATACTTGGCGATGAATCTGCTACAACGGGTTGACTAGCGGTCGCAGCTGGTTCGGTAATAACCAGTTGTAACGGGTTTATTCAACTCGTTCAAGCTAGCGGCTTACTTTTTTGCCATTTTTAAACTTGGGAGGATACTCAAGAAAGGTTATTATTATTATCAACATCATCATCATAATTATTATTATAGCAGAACATAAACGACGGAATGCTAAATAGCTTAAATAACAAATAGGGCGCTATGTATTGCGTAACCTATTTTGTTTTTTAGACAATAATCATTGAGTTGGCCCTGCTAAGAATGCAAACAATTAATCCGTGAAACACTAATCAGTAAACAATAGAAAGCAATGGAATTTGCATGAATTTGTGTTATTATTTAGTATTACTAAAGTTTCACGGTTATATCGTTGGCACTCTATTAACCCCCTTTAGTAAAACATATCAAAATCATAATGTCTAGAAATAACTCTACCAGTGTCTGAAGGCTAAACGCAACGTTCTCAAATCATGATATTAAAGTGACAGGCCATGTACTTCAAGAACCGGGTGATGTGCTGATCTGACCTAGAGAGGCTTTTTTCAATTTACATTACGTCACGTTTCGCGAACATTAAGAGCATTTTTACCTTTTGTCCCTTGATGCTTCGCGCGCGGTGTGCCCGCCCCTCCCCGTGTTCACGTACAGTGATATTTCTCCCACTAGCTAAGTAGATCCCAATATTTTTCGAATTTGGTTTTAAAAGAGATATAAGAGATGTAAAATGTTAACAACTTAACAAACGTGACACAACATCATGTCTCAATTCACGCATTCGTGACTTGAGAGTTTTCCGTCTCGGTCGATCACGTACTAGGAATACATAATCTGATGAATAATTTATGTTAGGTAGACAGAGTACGATGGTTAATGTAAACAACATGATGATGCTGTTAGAAGAGCCCATGTTTCTTGATAAAAACAGTTTTAAACGTGGTATTGAATCATAAGAGAATGCTAAGACACTAGAACGCATTGGACAGTTTTCCATAGAAGTGACTACAGGTCACGCTACACCAGCGATATATATGAAGTTCAACTGAAGCAGAATCCTATAGTTTATCGATCAAAATCTCTTTAAATTCCAAATTTTTTACGAAGAGACTTTTTATCTGCAGTGAATTTTGACTGCCAGCAAACGATAAAAACCGAGGCTCACTTTCTATCTACTGCAATTCGACGAAATGAGCTCTGTGAAAATCCCAAAATGGATTGGGCCTACTTTGTGTCCAGTCGTTTTTATTTTATTAATAGCGGCAGTTTGTTTTTATTACTGTTACTGGAAGCCAAGAAGAGAGAAAAACAAGGAAAAGAAAGAAGCTGAAAATAAGCAGGTAAAGGAGAAAATGATTTCACCCTCGCTGTCCCGACAGAGCCCAGGAAGTGGGGGCAAAAATACTCCTCATGTACACGAAGAAATGACTTATGAATGTGGGTATTATGACTGCGAACCATATACAACCTATGAACCATATTGTATGGATTATTGTCCGCTTCCAAGAAGTGGCTTGAGTTATTGCGTTCAATATGACAGGCCCAAATTTGTTTACTGCCCCACTTCATATCACGCTAAATCACGCGATACAGCAGTTCAATCGAAATGCAAGGGTACTGACAAGATAAGAAAGTGCAGTCGAGTCCGATGCCCGAGAGAAGAGTGCATAAAATGCCCTAATCTTCCAATGATTACAGAGGGAAATTCAACTCTTTCACTTTGCGATGAAAAGGAGGAGGAAGAACATAAAGAGCCCTTTACTACAAATGTAGTAGGTACAGGTTTGATAATTAAAGATAGTGAAAATGAACAAATGGTTGTTGAAGGCAGAGAAAACCTAGATGTGAAGACTGCTAGTGTTAGTGGTCAGGAGGAGAATACATCTAACTGCTGTAGGGACAGTGGGTTTGAGGATCATCTGCTGCCATAGAATCTTCACATTTGATACATTGGTGAACTCAGCATCAATAGCACCCACTTCTCACCTTTTGAGGGACTGGTCATCAAGTAAAAAGGAGGGTGGGCTATAAAAAGCACTTTGTAGATCAGGGCAAGTCACTCGTTTTTGAGCCTCAAATAATATAAGGAGTGGGTTATGAGAAAATCAGCTTCTCACTAGACCAGGTTTTTGTCTTTTAGTAATTGAAATTTTGTGCCCCCGGCCCCCCCCTCCTTACTTTATGAACAGTTTCTTAGGCCACCCATGCAGGTCAGGGTCTGGTTGTATGAAAGATGAATAATAGTGCTATCCAATGGATCCAGTGGATATGTTGATACTGTTATCCAAAGGTCTTATAATACACCATAAACTTAGAGGTATTTATATAGTGATAGAGTGCAAGATAATAAATTTGTCCAGTAGATAAGTTTTATAAGGTGGATACACCCTTCGTACAATCGGGTCCTGGTCTTATTAGTATATGTAATTAGGACTCCATGCTGTCCAATTAAGAAATAATTGGACGAGGAAAATTCCAAGGACTGACAAARTTGGATGATGAGGCCGTAGGCTGAGACCAATTTGGAAGTCAGAGGAATTTTTCAAGTCTAATTATTTCTTGATTGGGGAGCATGAAATCCCATTACCTATTAATTATATAGCTGCCTAATTAATCCCATATCAACAAGACCTGTCCAATTAAGAAAATAATTGGACAGTTACCTATATGGGATTAATGAGAATCTGTATAATTAGGTTAGGTAATAGTTCAGTTGGGAGAGCTAGTACAGCTTAAAAGGACTGAAGCTGAAATTTGGTTCATTATTCAATGCACACCTTTTCACTGCCTGCTTTTTTTTATTTCGAAATTTTGCTTAATATATATGATTTTAATTAACCTTATTTTTATTTTAGTAGGAGAAATACACAAAGTATAGACACCTTGTACTGCACATTCCCTTCCAGGGGGTCAAAACAATAAAATAATCACAACAAAAGGATTTTAATCCTCAAGAGAAGTGAAATCTTTTGTTTTGTTTATTGGGCAAAGGAGAATCCAGGATCATCCCATCATGCATTGTAGTATTAGTAGTAGAAGTACCATTAGGAAAAGATGCACATAAACTGCTTGAAACCAAAGAAAACAATAGTAAGCATGCAAGGGCACTTAGGATAGGCCTGGATCCTCCTCAGTGCAAGGGATATTTGTTACAAAACACTCTTGTAATGGGTTTTATGGTTTTCATGCAACATCAAGAGAAATCCCTCCCAGAAAAAAAGCATACAAGTAAGAGCTGCCTCAACTATTATAATCTATGCCTTGTAATATTTGTTTTCATATTATTTGTATTTTTATAATATATGATTTTTGGATTCTTGTTATTGTGTAGTTCCAGAAATTATCCATCCCCCCTGCATTGGCCCCCCCCCCATCCCAAGAGGAAATTTGGGAATTCTGAGGGGTAGAGGGTTTCAAAGAAAGAACAAAATTACAGAGTTTCAATGAAAGAATTTGAAATTTCTGGGGGTAGGGGGGTGTGAAAAAAAACCTCTGTGGGGGGTATGTATAATTTCTAGAAGTACACATTCTTATTTATTCTTATACATTCTTTTAACAGTTTTTTTATATATTTTTTCAATATAAAACTAGACAATGATATTAAAGGAGTGCTCTTAATGCTTTCATAAGCAGATAACAGATACTTCTATCCTTTTCGCCCCTAAGGGATCATTCATTATTTATTGGGTAGGGGTATGCCAGGATTCACTTTGTAACCCATACAAGAAATCTGAACCCCTCTTTTTCCTCTCTTTTGTTGCATTAAAAAAGCTATTTTTTGTGAAAGTGTATAGTGTGACTCATGCAATTTCCTTTGTGTTGCTCCCTTATTGAGCCTGATGTTTTTAATGACCCCCCTCTCTACCTCCTATGCGGATAGTTTATATATATTTGAATTTTTACAGAATCACTGCAAGAAAGGATTTATTCACCTGGTCTCAAACCGTCTACAAATAAGTAGCTGGCAATGCCTCTATCCCGATAGAAATTATTAAGCTTTCATATATATGATTCACAAGTGAATACCACATAGTAAACTAAATACGGCTAATTTTATATTACCGTAGTATGTACAACTGTATAGGACCACGAACGACTAGATCCTAGATAGATTTTTTGAATTGCTTTTAAAGAAATCCGGCCCAGTGTAATAATTACTCCCATAATTTAATGAATTTCTGCTAAAAATTCCCACCGACCAGCATCCCATTCAAGTACACAATTATCCTCGTATTTTCCGAGTAGCCGGATAAAACTCGGCAAATCCTAACTATTTYTCTTTAATTCCTCCATACCATTTTCCTAAAATGACGATAAAAATATCAGATATACATACATATAGCTCATTAATATATTAATATTTGAGACTGACTATTATAAAAAGTACAGCTCTCAGAAGTTTGTATGTAATATATACCATATGACAATGGGTACGAGGGAATCTCAACAGATGGCCACTAATTTCCGTGAAATGTGCTATAAAGCACCAATCTTAATCTTTCGCAAGACTAATCTGTGAGCTTCTTTTTGATGTTATGTCATGCATTTAAAGAGATCGATACCATTTCACTTTATGCTGACTGCCGTCGGTAGACTTGCATTGTTGTTGCACTGGGATACCGGCACTGGAACGAAAGACTGGATGAAATTACAACAAAAAAGTCCACCGTGAAGAAAAACACATCTTTCTGTAAAAGAAAGCCCTGCATGTTTGGTCTACTCAGTCAATGCAAGTTACTAGTAGGTTTTGGTTGAACGAGTCGTGATTCTAAAGTCAGTCTAGACACTGAAATTCATAGAGGATCGACCTAACCGGGATATGGAACCACCTTACAGCTATGGCTTACCAATATTCGCCGGTGTACTGTTTTCATTATGGAGTCTAATAATGTGTTATTATTTCGGGTGCCGCCAGAGAACAACACACCGCGGTGTTGAAGAGATGCAAGGCGATATGGATCATCTTCAAAGTCTTAACAGAGACGATGTTTCTAAATCTACTATAATCAGAGGACAGGCATCAGAGAGCAACTCGCGACTTCCAACCATTCGTGAAGAATCAGCTGACGTTGAAGAGATTAGTCAAAATGTTCCATCTCGCGACAATTCAATCATGAATTACATGTACTTTACGAACTTTACATAATCTATGCTTGTATAATGCACTAGTCATTTGACATCCTCCGCACCCCCCTCCCCCTCCCCCTCCTCCCCCCCGGGCATATCCGGGGGCAAAGCGGGGATTTCACCCCATTTTCAGATGTATTTGGTCCCCTGGTGGTCGGGGAAAGCGCTTCAATTCACAGCTTCGGCTGCAACCCGGGGACTGACCGGGGACTGAACTTTTCCGTTTTGGGGACTGAGACAGAGTGAGCTCCTCGTGTGAGTTTACGTAGTCATAATGGATGAGACGAAGACGGTAAGATTTTGGGTTATCCTTCACGAATTTGCAAGATGTGATCCTATTGAAGGGCACACATATGTGTAAAACGATAAAAAGCAATGACCTTTCCCCAACCCCGCCCCTAAACCTAACCAATCACAAGGGACGTTGCAAATTCGTGAACCCCAACCGAAGATTTTCATCGCATTTAATAATTATGTTTTTCTAAGCCATCGATCGGAAAATGGCTTTTCATTCTATTCTATGATAGAGAAAAAGACAGAAAAAAAACAAACAAAAAGCGAAGCAAATAAGCTGGTACTACATGGAATAAATATTGAACACTTCAATCTATTTCTTTGTCGGCGAACACATTTCTGCTGCAAAAGATATGAAATACCCAGTTGACATTAAAATAAACTGCTCAAAGGTGACGCGGGACTTCACTTTTTTTTCTTCCCCGTGGGGCGGGGCTTTCATTACCTTTAACTGAGGGAAAAAGTGAAGTCCCCGGGTATGCCTCAGGGGGGGTGGGGGATGCGGGGGATGTCAAATGACTGGTGAATAACTGAAAGAAAGAGCGAGATCCAATTGAAGCAGTCCATGTAAAAGTTTGTAAATTAGTCCTCGGAGTTGATAAGAATGCATCAAATAATGCTTGTAGGGCCGAGCTGGGAAGATATCCTCTATCTATCGATGTCAAATGCAGGGCTTTCAATTTTCTAAACAAACTGAGAGAACCCAGAAGTGGCTCCCTCTCTCATGATCTATTCTTAGATTGCTTAGAAAACGAAAATAAGACAGACTGGTTAAAGAAAATTAAAGATACGATATACGGAGTGGGCCTCGGTGAGGCCTGGATAAATACGTTGGGGACTCAGTCAGGAACCCAGGTCCAGACAAAATTAGGATACTGTAAAACTGTAAAACAAAGGTTAAAAGAAATTCAGTTCCAGACATGTCTCAGGGTGTCTGATGATGAAAAGAAAAACGGTCAAAAAAATAAACTTCGGACATATCGTATCTTCAAATGTAATTATTCCCCTGAAACATATCTCTTCCGCGTTCCTAACATCATGCATAGAACCGCTCTCACACGCCTGAGAATTAAGTTGTCATTATCTAGAGATAGAAGTGGGGCGTTATAAAAGGCCATATAGAAAACCCGAAGACCGAGTATGTACTAGGTGTGAACTTAGGGAAATAGAGGACGAGCGACACTTCCTGGTGAAATGTCGAGATGGAAATGTCCGCGCTATGAGAGTCTAAGAAAGAATTTGTTTGATGTTATGGAAAGCAGAACCTTAATGAATTTTAAAAAAAGAGTGTAAATTATATTTTCCAGAATCTGTTTAACCCTCCAGAAAAAATCCAAAGCCTCGTTTGCAAATATGTGCACGAGTGCTTTTAATTAAGAGGACCATAATATAACTATTTAACATATATAATAAGATCTTGATTTATAAGATTTTGATTGAATGTATTTTCTTTGGCCATGTGCCAATGTACAAATTGTATACGGTGGCCTTTGAAATAAATAAATTGTAATTGTGAAATTGTAATTGTACATGTAACTGAATGATATGACTGTGGCCAAGCCCTCCAACATTGCCTCGGTAAATATTCATTCAGTATAGAGGGTTTTCAAGTGATGTCACAGCGGCCATTATGGGGTACCAAAACAATACATTTTCTATCCTCCGGGGGAATTGAACTCTATTTTTTGCAAACTTTTGAAGGTTTCTCAACACAAAAGACCTATTCTGACCTATTCTGGTACTTATGAGCGAAAAATTAACTGAAATACCTCAAACACAACTCTATTAATTACATCTGTGGTAACAATTCTCAACTATAGCAACGTATTTCTTCAGTGATGTTATACATGTGATTTCCTTTCAGTTATCAAGGCTGGTGATATTTATGAACATCAGGACATAGTTGTACATCGGGGCTACCTAGAGTTCAGAATGCCTCCCTCATTAATGAAACATGAGGATAATTAAATTTCCCTGGCTCAGTTCCAAATCAAGGGGAGGCATGAATTTGGACAGTCATTAGACGGAATGTTGACTTTATCAGGGTCTTTCACGATAAGCACACTGTTCTCCCTTTAACCATCCATTCTGGGACACTTTGTGATGTTAACAGTCTTGTAGCTGTACAGCTGTCTTTCGTTCAAACTCACAAAGCTTTTCAACCAAAACCCATATACATCATCAGGACCTGGTGATTTCCAGTTACTCATTTTCTTCACCCGTTGTTTGATCTTCTTTGTTGGATGGTACGTTCTTGTTGCTGAGCTACTTCCTGGTCATGCTTTGCCTTCTCAGCCTTTCCTTTGTGTTCTGCATTTATTGCTCCATAGCTGACTCCAAAACTCTATATTTTCCTTAGCATTGGGTGGCGCTTGATGATATCATTTTGCTTTTTATGCTTTTGATATAATTTGTTGTGAATAATCTGTTATGCTAATATGGCTTTATTCTGTCAACATAGCGCCTCACTTTACTTGCCTTGGCCTTGATCCTTTGTTTCAGTTCTTCCATCACTACTTTCCATCCTTTGCTTGACTCCCAGCC